ACAACTCTATACACTCCGTTACCAAACAGAAGCCAATTGATATTTTGAATGGACATTTGGACCCATTGGACCCATTCGATATTGATATTGAAAAAACACTGCTCAATAATTATGCTCCACAACACAGAGAAAAGGCCAAGGCAATCTACAAGGAACTCAATCAGAAAGCAATCGAGATCAAAGAAAGAACAATTGAAAAACGCAATGAGAAAAGACAAGTGCCAATAACCTACAAAACGAACACTAATATCTATACTAAAACCACAGAAAAACGGAACATATTATTACCCAGATTCACTCGAAAGATCGTGACATCAAATAACCCAGTCACTGTTAAGTTACCCAATACAACTATACATAAGAAAAATATAAAACACAAGTCCGAACGAAGAATTGACCGTGAATCCTCGTTGCAGATGGAATCCCGTGCTGGGACAGGAAATCAGGATCCAGGATCTCAAAGACAACCCAGGGATCCTTCCCCTCAAGCTGGGCCAAGCCAAAATACAAATTAGTTCCCAAGATTTCATACACTACTACAACCTCACACCAATCGCCATAGAAATAGACGCCCTAACAGACCAGTACGAGAAGGTCACAGTCGCTATCGCTGATGGACTAAGCCACCCATATTTCGACAGTCTTCAAAATTTTGACCAAGGATTACGATACCAATTAGACGCAGTACATCGAAAATTTCAGACAATCTACCCGTCTCACCGAAGTAAGAGAGGCCTAATCAATGCCTTTGGCAGCATTATCAAAGCTATATCTGGTAATTTGGACAATGAAGATGCCGAAAAATATGATAACGCCATAACCACCCTCCAAAGCAATCAGAAGAACGTCATCCAACGTTTGAATCAACACATGTCACTAACAACTCGACTTATAGAGAACTTCAACAATACAGTTACCTTAATAACACACAACCAAGAAGTAATTGTCAGAGAAATCGATACGATTCGATCCAAACTCAATAAATTCGTATTCGAATTCAATGATAACATGCTAACAAGAAATATCCTGGACCAGATGAGCCTCTCGTTACAACTAATACTCCAACTACTCACCGATCTAGAATATGCAGTTACCTTCGCAAGAATCAATACCCTTCATAATAGTATCATCAGAACCAATGAATGGAAATCAATAACCGATATAATGTTAAGACACCACTCAGAGAAACAGCTCCTGTATATAAACGAAGAAGATCTGCTGAAATACTATGATGTCATATCAGTCGACGCCTAATACTCAAAATCAATGATCGTTTTCATTTTACACTTTCCACTCCTAATACCAGATATATTCAATCATTACCACTTATTCTCAATCCCTACTAGTAACTAAACCACCATTATTCCACCCAAACCTTATCTAACAATGAATACAGAACTCCACCAGTATACAGATAGACCATGCCGAAAAATCGATTTCGGGTACCTTTGCCCAAGTATTGCCATTCAATACCGAACACGTAGCTCAGATTGCATCTCCCAGATTCTTCAGCTCTCAGACGAAGCCGCCCAATGCCAACTAGTTCCAATATCGATCAATGCTACTCTGATCGAACAACTGACTGAAGCCCACTACGTCGGTATATTTCCACAATCGACGAAAATCGCCACCCAGTGCCAAGTATCAGGCATATCAGTACTTCAAGGGACGTTCCTCATCGAGTTACCACCAGGCTGTGAGTTTCACACCCCCGAAGACAGCTACATAAATTCCAAAGAAGTGGTACACGAAGAACCGCTAACCCTGCCAAGAATCAAGACCATCAACAGTGAACCGATGAAACATCTGAGCCCGATCCGCCTGGAGAAAGTCGCCCTCGATGAACTCCACCAAATCCAAAGCGAGCAAGAACACCTTAGTCATCAGAGAAGCCGCCGACCACAGTCACTTTTGGACAGCCCCGGTATACATCGTCGTCGCAGCCATCCTAGCAGCCATTTGTTACAAGTGGCGCCGATTCCTCACCTGCCCAAAGAAGACATCGCAGAAGCCAGCACCGCAGTCTTCAGTTCTGTTCGTCCCTCACAAAACTTGTTCAGGGGATGAAGTAGTTACAATTTGATTCCACCTTTATTCAGCGATATCTGAAGCCACCGTCGTTACGGATTCCTAGAGTTCTCATGAGAACGGTGCCGAGATGCTGACTTTGCGTATTCACTTGAATTATATTCCATATTTTATAGTTAGTCTGACTTTAGAATTCTTACTGTTCACTTGATACATAATTTTGATTTTTGTTAAGTTCTGTTCCGAAATAAATCTTTTTAAAAATAAGATTTCCCGGATTCAAACTTTAACTTGTATGTACATTGTATTGAGTGTATTATTTATTATTTATAATTGATTATGAATAAACATTATTATTATTATTATACAGGGTGTCTGTAAAAGGTCTCTACAAAAACATACCACATATTCCTTAGACCAAAATAAGTCGATTTGAGTAAAATTACCTCAGTACAAAGTTGCATCGTTTGGGCTCCAGAGGGCCTTGAAGTTACAATTTTTGAATCGTTTTTCCCATATAAATTTGAAACGGCATATGCGATTTTGCTGAAATTTGGTATATCGATAGAATTTTATGTGGCAAAAAAAATGGTGTTAAAATTTTGCCCGATAATGATACATAGGCGTAGAACTTGATTTTTTAAATAATCGCACCTTTAAAAATTCTACGCCAATGGAAGAAAAGGAGTTTGAGTATGAAATTTAGATTGCGCAACTCATTTACTTTAAAAAGTTGTGTTGGAGAATGTCTTCGTGCCAGTTTTTGTTCAATCTTCTGTGAATTGGTCCGTCCCTGTAGAGGTTTTCTATTTGATCAGTCTCATTTGGTAGTTGGTGGAAACTGTTCTAATAACTTCGGTGACATACGGAGATCCTCATGGAGAGTTTGGTTGCTAATGTACCAAGGAGCATCAACAATAGATCGAAGTGTTTCTGACTGGAATCTTTGTATGGATTTTATTCTAGTTGGTTTTGCACAGCCCCATAGCTGCACTCCATATGTCCATATAGGTTTTAGCATTACTTTGTAAAGCAGCAGCTTGTTTACGGTCGATAGCTTGGATTTACGGCCTATTAGCCAGTACATTTGTTTGAATTTGATGTCTAGTTGCCTTCTTTTCGTTTGTACATGTTTTTCCCATGTTAACCTCTGATCCAGGTGAAGGCCCAAGTACTTCACATTGCTTTTGGCTGGAATTGGCACTCCATCGATGGTGACTGGTGGGCAGTTATCATGGCACGTAGTGAACGTTACTTCAACTGATTTGGTTTGGTTGATTTTAATTCTCCATTTTCTATACCAAGCATTCAACTGGTTCAGGTGGGTTTGCATGTTTACCGAGGAGGTGGCTGGATTTCTATTCACAGAGAGGATAGCGACATCTGCAAAGGCAGCTATCGTTGTGTTCTCTGTTTCAGGCAGGTCATTGGTATACTGGAGGTAGAGGAACGGCCCTAACACACTTCCTTGGGGCACGCCTTAATCTTCTCCTGAAGATGCTAACATAGTTAGTGAAACACGTGTCGAGGCGTTGAAAAAAAATCGGTTTGGTTAGTGGTAAAACAGTGTAGTGTATAATACATAATATTATTTCATTAGATTCGAGAGATAATGACAATTCTCAATTTCAGAGGATTTTGATTTTTCATGCTCTCTTTTTTGATATTCAACTGATATAATTCAATGTTCGACGTGGCAAATAGCCAGGAAAGTGGCTGTTTTCTGTTGAATATTCAGGATGATATTATATGCATATCTTTATATTATGAAGGAGAATGCAAATTCTTTACTTCAGAAGATTTTGTTTTCAAATTCTTATCGTGTGTGTTCAATAGATGTAATTTAATATTCGTCATGGCATATAGCCAGGAAAGTAGTTTTTTTCTGTTGAAAAATCCGAGAAAGAATTAATATCTTCATCACATGGAGAACGCGAATTCTCAATGTATTTCTTTATTTATATATCCATTTTTTCGTATTCATAAATATATCTTAGGATATTCCTTTTCATCCATTGACAAATTGGAATTTCGTACATACCTACATTATTTATGAATATTTCCTTCCTATATTCGATTGATAATGAATTATGGCAATGTATTGATGTTTATTGAGATTAAATAGAAACTGTTAAAACGCCTGATACGAATTCATGTTTACCGTACTTCCGTATGTGGGGAAGTATACAGAGAATATGAATTCGTGGATGCTCCATACCTCATGCTTGTTATAATATTCTCCACACACGAGAAAAAGTTTTTATTGGTACCCTATATTTTGTTTATTCAAAGGGCTTCTCGGCGTGTTTATATCGAACATTCAGAAACGTGCGTTTTTTAAACTTACCACGGCAACATGAACGACCCGAGAAACGTGAAGTCTAAATGTCAACGACAAATAAAATAACACTATCAAATGTTTCAAATTAATATTTTTTTCTTATTTTCATGACAACGAAAGGTATACTGATGTCACATCACAAATTCAACGATTTTACATTATTAGTTGTTACTCCCATTCTTTGTTAAGATAATACTAGTGTTTATGATCTCAAAGTGTATCAATCGAGAAACGTGAAGTCTAAATGTCAACGACAAATAAAATATCACTATCAAATGTTTCAAATTAATATTTTTCTCTTATTTCAACCATTATACATTTTTAGTTGTTACTCCCATTCTTTGTAAAGATAATACTAGTGTTTATGATCTCAAAGTGTATCAATGAAAAAAAATAGCGTGAAGTATTCGTGAATAACTGATCTTTATAATAAGACACTTTATGAATCGCATATGTTTTGAAGGCCTTGATATCCACTTATACTTCAATATATTGTTTTAATCACGAAATATTGTTTATTATTTTTATTATTTTTGTATTGTAAATAGCAAATGTTTCTTATCTCGTTGAGCGAGAAATACATTTCCGATGAATAAATATAATACTTATACTAACAGGTAGTTGTTTTCAGGTACGTCCAAGATCAAATAGTGAAAAATGGGTCGTTGGTGTGGACAGCTCTACAAAGAAAAGCATTCATTTATATTGCTGGAAACTCCAAGAATATGCCACGGGGTGTGAGAGAAGCTTTCATCGAGGTTTGCAAAGAATATGGTTGTATGTCTGAAGAAGTTGCAGCATGTTTCATCAATGATTTAGAGAAAACTGGCCGATACCAAACTGAATGCTGGAGTTGACATGGGATAAGCATGTTTATGTAGTAAATTATACATTCAGGGTATTCTGAAAGTCTCATTCCTCTTTCATATAGGTAACGACAGTAGCTGTGGAGTTGTAAAGCCCCCTTTTTCCTTGCTGGCCTATCACAAAAGGGGTCTTCCCAAAATTATTTTTTTATGAGGGTTCGTGATTATTCAGGCAGGAGGCAGACTATGTGGTGTAGACATTAGCATGTGACTGCCGAAGCGTTATTCATATCTATGTTCAGGCAAGGGGCAATATTCCATGAGGGGTAAAATAGTATATTACCCCCATAGGTGGGAAGTGATTCATTCCTGTCGTGAGAATAGTTAATTAACCGAGACGCAAAGCGTCGAGGTTAGCTATAATCTCGAGACAGGAATGAAACTCCCTACCGAGGTTTGTATACTATTTTATTCACAACCATCATATTTCGATCAAAATTGATAAATCGATGTTTCTTGCTGAACATACCTGAATTATTACATGAGTGAGGGCGGGAAGTGAGGGCGGGAAGTAGAGGTGTCTAATGTGACACTTCATAACCTTCTATGACGTCAGTTATGACAACATTACATATATGGTTGTTAATCAAATTCATTTTCTGGGCAATGATTCCCAGGAATCGATATGCACTAATAATGAACTACTATGGAAGACATTTTCAGATTGTCATATCATATTCATATTCACCGAGCCGGCGCTGTGAGGTATTCAGGATATTTGTTACCATTGGAAAAATGTTCGAAAGACAATATTTTAGGAATGTTATATGACTGTTTTTTTTAATTTTCATATATTCGTATTTATCTCATATTATACAGTGCTCTCGTGATGTACTGAATAAATTCATTTTTAGCCAAACTATCCATTCCTGAGGAATCTCCTGAAACAGGTCGATTTTCATTCTCAATTTACCACATATATAAGAAAGAAATAATTACACAGGGTGAACTACGTTTGAGTAATGAACACCGAGACATTTTTTTCAAATGGTACACCCTTGAGTCACTGGATGGTATTAGTTTGATAAGAGTTCGGACACAGCTGAACTTTTGTCCTTTTCTATCTTCTATTGTACAATGGTTTGAGTGATTAAAAGAATAAGAAATATATTCTGTCCTTTGTCTTTTCAATTTTCCTAGTAGCGCCTGATTGTCAGATACGATTTTAGAGGTTATATTTTCTGTCGAATTAATCAATCATAGTCATAGATGGACAATGGAAATAGGGTACAAACACCCACTTCAATTAATAGTGATACTTCTAGCAGAACAACTGTTATATTTTATAAATGAAAAGAATGCATGTAACAACATTTTGATATTGGAAAATATACACATATGGATAAACTTATTGCTATAATTCCTTATTGTATGTGAAACTGTACTCCAGTATGATAAGTATAAAACATGAAGATATCAATATTAAATTAGAGGTAGGTAATCTAAATAAATGAGTCTATATGAGCTTGTGTCCGGAAATGCTTCATTTCGGAGATACAGGGAGTTGAAATACAGAAAACAAACCATTTTTTGATAAACATTTCATAGGAAAACAATAGTTTATTTTGACAAGACCTGCCACATACTTGGTTTTGTAAAGTTCTCAGGAATTTCACTTAGCGCCCTAGGAGCTAAGAGTAACATGGATGGATATGGAAAATTGTAAATATCTCCAAAGCGATAACCTCCAGCGTAATAAAGGCCCTTATAATAATTCCCTTGATACATAAATAACTATCCACTTTTCACTGAAATTTTTAATTTGGTCGGTACCAAAAACGCCATTCAATAATATATCACGTTGTAGTTTGCTTGCTTTTATTAGTTTCGCTTTGAAATTTTCAATTTCATTACGTAATTCTGCGATCAATTTCCTCTTTCTCCATGATTATTTTGTTTTGTATTCTGTGTGATGATAATAATGGAATTTTGTTATTGAAATCGTCTGCTATGTAAAATGATGAAACAGCAGATTCTCTCAAACATATTTTGAAATCTTCTGTTTGAAAGTGGGCATAAAATATAGTTTCATTCCAATTAGATGCTGTTATAAAAAGTGAATATCAATGAGTACTAACCTCACAAATTTTGTTCGTCTTCTAACTGATTTTCCACCCAGGTCGTTTTATATCTTCCTTCCATAAGCGAATGGTTGATATTTGTTTCGGAAAATTGAATAAATGATATCCATTTTTTTCAGAAATGGCACAATTCGTTACACAGTGAGTGATTTCCATAACTGCTTTCTTCTCGAAAGTAAAATTATGAAATTATATTTTAATTCTGACGTTTATAAAATTTATTGTCAAATTCAAACAATTTTGAATGAAAAAGACGACTATGGTACTCTTGTCAGAATGCAAGGTGTGTTACTTAATAAATCTAAACATTCAAAAACCCTAATCATGGTAATTTCTGTGTCCGAACTCTTATCAAACTAATACCACCCAGTGACTCAAGTACACCCTATATATATCATTCATTTCCTGGGATCTCAATGAAAAGCTGCATTCATAATTTTATTACACATAGCAGAGATTATACACCCCCTAGATAAACACTGTAAATGTCATAAAAGGCAACAGCATTCGAGGTGTGAATGTGTATCAACAGATGTCGCTGTCTATATCGCAGATAGAATATTGGAGCTGTAGTAAAATCGATATTTACTACGTCCATTCTCGGGTATTCACAGCGTTGCCAAGACTCCTAATATATTGGGTAGCGCTAATCTGTTATATCGACGTGAATACTTAAAAATAATAACGTATATATGAAATACGAATAATTGATTTGGTGAGTGAGTTCAACTACTCAGTTCATCGAACTACTTCCCCACCATGTGAACTTCGGTCGACTCGTATGTCCCAGGAGGTTTCCGTCTCTGGAAGTCTTGCAAATCCACTGGATAATGTATTACGTCACCTTGTTACTTTTATGAACAAGGGGGTAATAAAGACTGGTTTTCCCCACGAACTTTATACTTTCTTCGTGATACAAAGAGATTATGCTCAGCGGAGAGGGATTGTGAGTAAAAAAAGAGACCAACTATAGCTTTAGCTTAATATTCTGATATTCCCATAGGGGTTTAATACAGGCTTATATTACTTCTCTGAAAATATATTCCTTCAGCAGTATAATTACCCAATAGTAGTGTGGAATGTAGTGACAAAGCAGATGATGGTTCAGTCTATGATTAAGTAGGTATACGTCCACGGACGAGAAAGAGATTCAATTTCAACCCCCTTCAGGTATATATACCGCAGGTTCACAGAATCTAATATCTACCTACTATTGTTACTATGCAGTGCGTTAAGGTAGCTTAAATAGGTTGAGAGTATGATTAAGGAAAAATATACAGCTAAGCCTGTTCACTAAATGAATCCAGGTGGTTTTATATATTAATAGCCAAAAGCGAAGCACCAGCCAAAGCTTTCAAATCAGGATTGGAAAGGTCTTACTTGAGAGGGTTTAAAGCAGACAGCATGTACAGGGTTCCTTCCTTGATCTCATCTCTCACTGTGGAGGTTCCTGGAGGAGGAGTGGTGGTAGGCAATTCTGCGTGCTTTAAAGTGTCTATGTAGGATTCGAACAGCATGTATATAAGCAGGAAATAGGAGGCCTAAAATACCAAGCAGTCTAAGATGCAAGCGTATAGGTAAAGGAAGAGTTTTAGCGAGTGGAGACAGTAGCTGTAGGCTTTGTATATAATCAAGGCTGTAGGGAAAGGTATGATAAAAATCCTACGTAAGTAATCCTACCTTTGGTGTGAGGTGGCCTCGTGTGATGGCAAAGTGGTTTCTGTGGTTGGAAAATGGATCCACCAATTGGTGATTACCTGATAATTCGTCAACGTAATTAGTATGTTTGTTAATACTGCAATAAAACACCTTTTATACTTGCAATGGTTTTACTTGTCTGAGATGAATCCGGATTACAGTTACACGACAAGAGTTAAACGTTGAACGTCTCATGTCGAGGTCGCGAGTCGAGTGTCAGTTTTGCTTCTGGGCGATGCGTATAGTGCCTGAGCATGCGCCCTAGTATGGCGGCAAATACAAACATAGCACATTTCCCCCCTTAATTTTCCAATACTCTTTGTGCTCATTACATACATATTACATACATTTACATCTAAACTTTACATACATTGCTTTGACGCTATTATATCTCTATACACTTTTTGACATAACATTTACATTATTTCACATGGTCACATAATTATCTAAAACATGGTATGGATACTTCCATTATTCATATCTAGCAGGCCTTCTACTAACACGTCTAGGACGACCTAAATCAGGCATATCATTCTCTATGCTCATGTTACCTTGACCTACATTATCATTATCATTGACTGTATCCTCATTCAACTGAGGTTCTTCTACAATAGGGTTGTCATGATTTTGCTGATTAGCATTGTTTTGCTGCTCTACTGGTTCAAGGGGCGGACCGAGGAAGAAATCCCTTGTATGATTATTTTCATTTTGGTGCTTTTCTTTTTCCTCCTGGCTGCCATGTCTCAGCATTCCATCGTCCCTTTCCTCTCGTGCTATGATTTGGTTGGCGTGCCTTTTCCAAGTTTCACCTGTGTCCAATTTGCAAAGGAAAGTAACCCTACCTATTTTTTTATTATCTGAGCCTTGCACCATGCCTTTACATTGATTTTTCTATAATCTCTAACCATAACTTTATCATTGATTCGAAAATTGATCTTTTTTAATTGTATTTGACTTGTGTCATACTTCCTATCGTTCATTACTGTTAATAAATCAAGTCTAGTTGTTGGCTTGTTTTGAAAAACCATTTCTGATGGCGTTTTGTTGGTGACCGAATGAGGTGTATTTCGATATACATATAAAATACGATTTAGAACTGTTTCTATTCCTTCATTTTTGTTGGATAGATCTGATGTACCAGCTTTCAATTTATCTTTTATTATTTTTACAGCATTTTCTGCTGGGCCATTACTCTGAGGATTATATGGTGCTATCGTTACATGTCTTATTTCATTTTGCTCAAAGAATTTTTCTATTTC